CTGGAAGAAGTTACCTGCCAAAAATGACCGCTGATTTTCAAAGAAAAGCAAAACAAATGATTCGTATAGTAAATTCGTGTAGTAAATTGATCAATCATTTTCATCGACGAGATGCCGCCTATATATGCCTGGCCTCATTCTTTAGAAGATATCTATCTGATAAAATTTAGTGTGCGGTTTCATAAATCCTAAATCGATAGAAAAAAACGTTTTTCAATAGCGGCATCTGAATGATTTCAATTTGTCAGAATGTGAGCTTAAATCAGTGACTGCGTATTTGACGAATCGGGGTTATTCACTGGCGGCCATTTTTGGCAGGAAAAATTGATGGCTAGTGGGAAACAAGCGTTACCTAACCTCATTCATGTGGCAAATTTAAGTCTGTTTTCATCTCAAGCTTGTACCGTTGAACGTGGTCGATTACTCGTACCAGTTTAAACAGTTGACTGACTATGTTCTAGGAGATGTTATGTGAGAATTCCTAGTCTCGTATGTACTAAAATCTGTGGTTCTTTCACCTTTTTGAAGTGAGCTTTGACTGTGTTCAAGTTTTCTTTGGATTTTGTATGAGGTTATTGACTAGCAGAAAAAATTTTGACAAAAATTCTGCATTAGTATGTTGCTGCGATTATCTGCCGGTTCAATCGCGTAGTTAATTGACTAGGTTAAAGAAGGATTCCAGTCGATACATTTAGCCGTAAATTGAAGTTATATCCCACGTAAGCGGTTATTTTGATCTAACAGTTTCATTGTAGTTTTCAGAAAAATTGGCGAGACATTTTGGAATCCTCTGTAATACTGATATTGTTTTTGTGAAGAGTTTATTTCAGTGATATTAGATCGACAAGATTACGACCTACAAGATAATGTTTTAGATTCTTTCTATCGAGGTATTTTCTCGAGACATTTGGATTTTCTGTTTGATACGTGAGTTTTTAATTAAATCTTTTCCCTTTTTATCACTAGGTTATTGCATATTTCTTGCATCAAAATGGAATATCGCACATCGGATATGTTAGTACACAACAAAGGTCAAAAAAGTGATATGTATTCTTCCATCAACTTCTCGATGTGCCTTTTTTACAAATAAAAGTGCTATATGTCCCGATTTCCGATTTTGAAATGAAGATAAACACGTCTGAGTTTGAACGAAATGAAACAACTTTTTCTTGTTGCTTTGGATAACGATGAACGCGTTTTAACTGAAAACTCGATAATCTTTTCCTAGGCCCATTTTTTCCGTTTTTTATTTCTTTTTGAAAAAATCTAACAGAATGCCAACAAATTTTAATTATTGTTTAAAAACAGTAGTACATCGAATGCATTGGTTTTCGCTTTTTATGTTTTTTATCTTTTGAAAATATTAGGTATATCCACTTCTAGCATGAAAGCTCTTATTGACAATATTTTTTTTTTAACTTTTGAACCTATCGGAAGATTCTTGAGAGCCCTTCTGGTGTACTTGGTCGATTTTGTTTGTCACGATTAGCCGTTATACAGTACTTTTCTTTTACAAGTGGAAACTTCGAACACTTTCAAAATTGTGACAGCACAACATATTTAAAGAATACACTCATTCCATGTTTTTCCATCGTTGAAAGTGAAAAACAGCTAACTTCGAACCAAATATGATGATTAATGTTATTAATCAAAAGTTTGTACATCATTCTGAATAATAAAATTTGATAAATTTTTGGTACGAATTATTTTGTCACGAGACGAAAGAAACCGTCACAAGGCAAGACAAGACATTCCAAAACCCCGTATTCGTGCTGTTTGATACCAGTCAGGTACAATAAAATGATTAAACAAATTAGAGCAGTTGTCGATCGCTATTAACTAAAACAGAAACAAACGCATTTCACAGAAATTCTATTGTGCAACCGTACTATTATCTATCTTGTTATCCTTTTTTTGTCTTACTGGTGAAAAATTTGTGTAGAAGTGCGAAATAAACATTTTTGGTAAGTCATTCTGCTGTTAAAGAAGCTGGTTACCGAAATTAATCCCCTTTCATTAGCAATCTGAATGATAAATGCGTTTTCTTTTTGTTTGAAACAATAGATATATATTGAATAACATTCGATAATTTAAGTTATAGATTTTTTTCAACTCTGTCAATTTTTCATATACTGTCCACGATCTTTTCTTGTATGCGCTTTGAATAGATATCTTGGATATCCTATAGCAGTATAGGTGCGTCGTTTTATCCAACTAACTGAGGATTTTTTTAAACACGCATCAAGTCAATATTTAATTCAAGTTTATCTTGAACAGAGTAAAATCACACTAAATTCACAAGTCTAAGAACAGAAAAGGAAAATTGTAAAACATTAAAGGAAAACTAGAGGAAAAAGCTAAGAACTTGAAAATAATATCAACAAATGAACATTTACTTTAAGTTTTGTCTAATTTTTGTTATTAATGTACTAATTATACTTCTTTATAGATGGCTGGATATCGAAATAGAGGTTATACACCATTTTCAAACGTACGTTATTTTGATCAAGATTCAAGTACATTTACAAAGAAAGCAACACGAGAACACGTACATTTCACAGACGACGAACAGTTAGCTGCGACGGCAACACCAGCATTGTTAAACTACGAAGCGAAGCGAGATTTATTACTGAAACGTGTTTTCTCATCAAAATTCAACAATTCGTCTGATACTAATAATAATCATGTTAACACAACTTTGGCAGAATCCACGATGGCTACTATAACAGCAAATGCTACCAGAATATCTAGATATGATAGCGATGATAATTTGGAAACAAGTGTAATGGTAAACGAGACCGGTACGCAAGTCATTGAATGGTAAAATATCGTTTTTTATTTTACTCATAACTCTGATAGCCATTGGAAACGTTAACATTTTGATTTTGCAGTTTAAATAATGTTAATCAATTAAAACCATCAAATTCTGCATCACTTGGAGATTATCTTCCTCTGTCAAGCGATAATCCTGTTCCAAGGTACATATAGTCTTCAAGTAGCTATTAACATTGCTTTATTCTCTTGTTTTTGTGGCAGAAAAGTCTTTTCAACAAAAGATAACAGTAATGATTTAGTACAATCAGATGATTCGATTGATGAAGAGTCGTAAGTTTATGGATAAATAATTCAGTGACAAACGATTTTATTTTTACTTTCTTTATTTAGAGAGTCCGTAGAAGAATTTTCTTCACAAATACCAGCGAGTGCAGATGATTCCGTTAGCGGCAAACTACATTCAAAACAAACAATTGAAATCATACGAAATAATCTCATACACGAATTTTATAAAATAACAAATGATAGTAATTTAGAATCATTGAAATGTAAAATGAATATACCCAAACAATTTATCAATCCACGTACATATGGTGATTTTCAACGTCGTTATAGAAAAGGTCGGCAACAAACAAAAGCAGTGTTATCGTTCTTATCATCTACTCCAACAACAAAAGATAGTTCCTATCACGTTTATGATTTATCGACGAATGATACTCTAACAACATCAACAGCAACTACTCCATTAATGACATCCGCTTCCACGAAAACAGTGAAGAAACAAGAAAATGGTAATTATAAAAGTTTTCATTATTATCTAGAAAAAATTTACTTCTTAACTTTATCATGGTTTAAAACAATTGAGGACCTCATGATAATAAATTTTTCAAATTAACCTATTTTAGAGTGAGAGCAGTTTTCCTCTCCATTTATCGATTGAAACTAAACTTTTTAATCTATGATCCAGACAGCAAAGTTTGTTTTACCTTGTTAACTGATATAAAACAAAGCGTACTTCCGATTTAGCGCCAAATGTTCACTGGAAGAGACTAAATAAGTGAAAAAACCTTTCAAAAGTCATTAATGTGACCCTAACTCGGGAACCAAACACTTTTAGACAAGAAGAAACTAAGGTACTTCTTTTGGATATATATATGCAGAAAATTTTATCCAAATTTAAATCTTCTTGCTATGAATTCTTCCATTGAATCTTGTTTAACTGCTGTTTCATTCACATTAATCTTTTGTTTCCTCTTGATAAGTATTAGTTTTTCTAGATTTTAAACTTTTTACTAAATAGATTTTCTGAAAGAGTCTCAGAATCAAGCTCTCCGTCTTTTACGTACTATACAAGATTGAAAATATTTAGTGAGACCTATAACCACACAAATTTTAAAAGTAGCTGTCATAATACTTGAGATTCAGGATGGTGCATACTTTTGTTCTACACTGTAAGTATGAATATATACGCAACTTAACGAATGAAATATTCGCGAATATATGAATTTCCATATAAAAAATTAACGATTGTACTTGAGTTTTGACCACTAATCCTACGTTGTGTTTGTATTTTGTGTAGAAGTAGTCATGAAATCCACAAAACAACGGCGAAAGAAAGTACGTTCAGCCGTACAACCAGATCCACTATTACCAGTGATGACTATTGATTTGTCGGATTCGTCAGTAGCACAACCAACTCCTGATTTTATCATGTTGAATTCATCTGATGATGAAAAACAAGATCCTGATGATATTGAAGAAATTTTTGCTAAAAAAGATCATCATATTGATCGTTTGCCAACAAACACGTTTTTACTTAATAAAACGCCAATTATGAATGTGAACGATAAAGAAGAACAAGATTCAAAATATGCATCTTTGCCAGAGAAAAATATTATACCAATTCGTGCAATTTTACCAAAGAAAAGAAAAAAAAAGAAGAACACAATTGTAACAGTTGCAGAAGATAATAATAATGTACCAAGTACACCGTTAATATCAGCTATCGATCGAATTATTCAGTACATTGATAAAGATGAAGAACGTCAACAATCGATAGAGAAAAAGAACAATGAAATTAAAGTTAAACAACAAGAACAAAAATTATCGATTGCTATTCAACCAATGTTCGATCAAGAGATTTCACCAGATATTATTATAGATAAAGAACGACAACAACAACCACCACCATTTTTATCCGAAAAAAAGCGACGTAAAAAACGAAAACGATTGAAAAACCAAAATAAATTTCATGAAAATGTAATTTAAAACAGGAAAGTTCTTTCACTTTTGAAGTATCGACTGTGTTGATAATACAGGTTTTTTGTTGTTCATCTTACAATGCTCTTTATGTGAACGATTTTCTTTGTTTTATTCTATAGGTCTTATTTTTTTAAACTTTACCTATATATGTCTTCATTTTTACAAGACAACTATTGTTACTTTGTGTTTTGTGGTAAACTTTAATTGAGAAAAGAAACTGGAATAAAAATATTATTCCTTTTATAATTAACATTCTAAAAGTTGTAAGATGTAAGTCAAATTCGATAAACAATAAGACTATCACCAAAAATTAGTTTTCAATTACATATTTGTCCTAGAGATATTTGTTTTTTGATAAAAGTTTGCACCATTTCCTTATTTCTCTTGATTGACCAAAGTAAAAATATTTAAAACTACAGAGAACCTAAAAACAAGAGAGAAAATGATATGACAGCAACAATAGCAAATAAAAAAAAAACAATAAACAATTGACTTCACTGAAAAAGAAAATCTTGTAAAAGATAATAACACAATTAAAATACTGTTTTTTTTTTGAATAAAAAAAAAATAACGGAAAAAAAATATTAATAGCGGCTGTGAAAAGAACAAGCTCGCGAGAAAACTACCACCAGAAAAAAATAAAAATAAAAATGATGAATATATAAAGAATGTACTATGAACTCGGAAAACATAGAAGGCTATATGTATGATGTATAGTATGTCATGATTGTTCTAATAACTCTTTAACACGTTCAATTCCAAGTAATAAATTTGGTTCAGTTAGATGACCATTGAAATGTAATTTAATATGTTCAATAATTAAATTATTTGATGATGATAAATGAGAACAAAATGGACATTGATTGTTATTTTGATTGTGGGAATGTAAATGAAGTGTAAATTGTTCTAAATTTGTTTGTTGTTTTCCACATAATGGACATTCATATTCATATGCTGTTGTTGAGGTAGTTTTATATAAGGTATTATCATCTTTCTCTTCAATTTCATTCACACCTTCTAACTCTGAATCTAATTCAAGAAATTCTTCATTATCATAATCACTATTACTTTTATGTAATAATTCATGTTGTTTTATCATATATTCATTATTAGCAGAATAATTACAATAATTACATTTATATTCTGAAAGTCGTGTATGATATTTGAGATGTTTTTCAAATAGTTGACGATCAGCACATTTATATGGACATATTGAACAAAGATGTTCATCTTCATCTATGTCATGGGTTAAGACTGATGGTGAAGGAGGTATCGCTTTAGCATCTAGATTTCTTATTGTTTGTAATATTTGCACATGTGGATCTTCATGAACAGATAAACAATGTTTTTGTATTTTTAAACGTATTTCTGATGTATAGTTACATAGTAAACATTGATAACCTTTTCCCTGTAGATGTAATGATAGATGATGTTCCATTATCGATGAATTTCGATGTTGAAATGGACATAAAGAACATGAAATCAAATTTCGTGATGTTGATGATAATGTCTGCTGTTGGTCATTGATACATGATGTATCAGCTTCATCATTATCATAAAATGTTTCTAATATAATTGACTCCGTCCGAGTTGTTGGTTTTGTTGTTGTTTTCAGTGATAAATCTAGAGGTACATCTTCTGAGCCATCATTTTGTGTTGACAAATTGAATTGAGATGGAGACGACGAAGATGACAATAATAAACGGTTGACAATATTAGATGGATAGTTTGGTAATTGTTTTAACTAAAACAAAAACAAAAACAAAAAGGTAATTATTCTGTTTTTTTAATCAGTCTGAATATGTCAGACATCTCAGAGAAAAAGTATTATTGAAATAACTGTAGAACATACTGATTGATCATTCCATGATGTTTTTTGCATTGTTGAATATAATTGGGTTGGCTGTTGCTGTAATACACAGACAACATCGGGTGGTTCTTGTTTAAATTCAGTCTGAATAAAATCTGTTGTTATATGAACTTTTCGTCGTTTAATATTATCATCTAAACGTCCTTCAAGTGATTGTTGTTTTATATTTGACGATAGTGATGACACTAATGGTACGTTATGCGTTATGACAGTTTTTTTATTGTTTGATTTTGATAATAATGAATTATGGGGTTTACCATCATTGTAATTCATGTGATCTATCGATGATAAATTACCATTAATGGACTGTTTACTCTATAGTGGAAATAAAATTAGTACAGTAACATAAATATAGATCAGTCAACAGTGGACAAAATGTAGAATAAATACGTTTATATGCTAGAACCTTCAGTACATAAGTTTTTCTTGGTGATCTACAAGTTCACTAGACTTACAATTTACTATGTATTGAATTAGTAGACATTTTTCTCAGTTTTAAACTGAGAAAGTATTTTAGAGTTTGAACAAAGCTGGACTCCAGCTTTCTTCGAACTTTCAAACACTTTAATGTATTTCACTGCATTAATCATCATAAATATAGTTTGGTGATCTACAAGTACTAGAAACTTTACTATTAGATGTCAAAAATCTAGAACACTTGGTTTTTAGTATATCGACACAAATCTAAAATCAGTATCTGTCATAGTTTTTGAGATATGGGGTTATGGACTCCTTTTTTGTCTACTATTATATCTTGACTAAGGACACAGTCTAAAATATCAAATACGATTGAATTGTTGTATGGTCTAACGAATTAATATTCGTGACTATTCTTTTCAGTTTGACAGTTAATACTTACGTATTGGAGAGATCCATCTTTTGGTGTAAATTCTTTTTCAGCTTTTGCCCAATCTTGCCATGTTCGAAATGTTCGTCGACGCAATTCTTTTCCAAATGTATTTTCATACGTTTCTATTGTCGATCGTGCTTCACTTTCGGTCATCATAATCATATCTTTATTATGATCTGGTTCTGTCATATTGTGTCGAATTCGTACATGTCGAATCATGTCTGTTTTCCAATTTGACCGATAAAAACAATGTCGACATTTCAGACGTTTAATGCCAAATTTTGGTTGTATAGCATATAAACCGGCTGACTTTGAACTTTGTAACGAAAGTAGGGCTTCTTCAACAGCTGGTGAAAATTTTGCTTTGGCTAATGCACTCGATGGTGATAATGGACGGATGGGGCCTTTTGTTGTTGCTATAGTTGTGGTTGTCATTGTACCATTTTTCGTATGTGTTGATTTTTTAGTTGACATTTTCTGCTGTTGAAGTCGTATTCCATTTAATTCATGATTATTATTCGTGCTATGTGTTAATACGTGACCATCCATCTGATTCCCGTGTTTTTCTTGTAAGTGTTGTTGTATTTTCATTGGAAATTTTGACTGATAATCACATAATGAACATTGACAGGTATACATAGTTGAAAAATCTGCTTGTTCCGACTTTATTATTAGATTGTTTTTAACGGGAAAATAGCCACTATCGCTTTCTTCTTCCTCCTCATCCATCTCATCATTCAATTCTTCTTTTAATGTATTTAAATTATTTTTGATTGAATTTACTTTTAATAAATTTGGTTTAGACGCTATTGAATGACGTTTTGCATCTGTATCGGTATACGAACTGCTTAATGATGATGAATTGGCATCAGTATTACTTGGTTCAAGTATTTTTTCATCGGAATATTCTCCTAAAATTCCGTTGAAAAGTATAAATTTTTAAAATTCTTAAATATTTTACAACCCATAAAATATAAATAAAAATATAAACTTCACTTGGACTTGGGTAATGAATGCCGTTAGAGTTTGGATTCTAGGAATCAAGTTTCTACGCAGTAATATGGTGTCTAGCTGGAAATGAGGAATGCTTTCCTATTCAAAAACGTAAAATTAAGACGTTATACGAAATAATTTCTATTTCAGAAAGAAGAAAATGGTATTATTGCATGTTTACAGTCTTTGTTTGAGTAACCGCTACTTTAGATTAAGTTGAGAACAACAAAAACAAGAGTTCTTCGGCGCTTTCCGAGTACATAGTGGGCATCCGAATTTTGTAATAAAAATTCTTTTCATCGGTTGGTATAAAGTACCGTCTATTTACTCTCAAATTTGGAATAAAAACTCTGAAAATCAGAATAAAAGTGTAGAAATAAGGACGCTCTTGTACAAAGAAAAGTTCTTTAAATTCTTATTAAAACTATCGAGATAAAAAAATCATAAATACAATAGATTTTCTCATTTTAAAGAGTTTTTTTTTGTGCAATAAGGTTCGAAGAATGCCCTATACTAGTGGACAATTTATCCGATCTTAAGATATTTATCAGAACAACGAGGAAAAACAATAACATTTTGAGATTATTTTACATGTTAACAGTTCAACAAGACTATGCTGGATTCGCACTTATGACTAGTTTTTACCTGTTATCCACTGAGAAATAAAATCTATGAGATTATGTAGGATACAGAGAACGAGAGAATACTTTCGAATATTTCAGATATACAGCTGATTAATTTGATCAATCGCTAGATGACTAATTTAAGGTACGCAATATAAATTTTACAATTAATGGTGAGTGTATTCCGTACGAGTTTTCAATTGCATGTAAGTAAACAGCATCTTTTGTGATACTCATCCATAAGTCGAAAGACAAATTTAATATATAGATTTCGCATCATCTTACCGTTTCCGGAAGGAAACTGTTCATTGGTAGTTTTGGGATTTACTAATGGTGTACCATTTTCTGGTAATATATCCAAAACGGTTGCTGTTTGTAATGTATGAAAATGTTTAATATGTCGAACGATAACCCATGTATGTTTCGATTGTAATGGGCATAATGAACAACGAAAACGTTTTAATGGTGGTGTTATTTTTTGTAATTTGACAGCTAATTCAGCTGGTAATTCAATCACTCTAACATCGGGCATATCGGGATGTTTCGCTCGAATATGTCTTTCAACTACCCATTTATATGTACCTTAATAAAAAAAAATGAAAGAAAATTAATTAATATTGAAATAAATGAAGTATTGATTCAAATTGTCTACCAACCTTGTTGATGACAACAACTACATTGAAATACACGTACTGGTGCAAAATTTGATATTAATGATAAATTTGTTTGCTGTATGATTTGATCCATATTTTGCATAAATAATTCGGAAGCTGTCTTTTTTTTTGTTATTTTGACGGTCGATTTAGGCTGCTCTATTTCATCGGGTGTTCTCTCATTTTCCTCTGGCTGCTCCATATCTTCTTCTTGCCTTTGAAATTGTTCACCATCATTTGAACCACACTGTTGATTATCACTTTCACTACCACTTTCATTTCTATGTAATTCAGTATTTTGTTGTTGCTCTTGTTCTTGTCGAATTATTTTATTTACTTTCGATTCAACATTTGGATGTTTTCGTGCCTGATGTTTTCTCACATCTCCACCATAGTTCGATGTATAATCACAATAGGGACAACCAAAATATCTTGATGGCATAGATAAATCATTATCATTTGCTAAATTATCTTTTGTACCACTCAAACCATTACCATTGCTATTTGATGTACCATTATTGTTGTTATTGTTATTATTACTTCCTTCATCATCACCAGTATCAAATACAAAACGTTGAATATAATCATTTGAATTTGCACTATAACGATGATGTTTTCGTCGAATATGAAATGAACAATCACCTATACAAATGAGGGAAAAATAGACTTGTGAATTAAATGACGATCGACTTAATGTTTGAGAAAACTATTTTTACTTACCACGATATTTATATAAACGATTACATAATAAACAACGATAATTTTTATCACGAATATGAGCAGCAATATGAAATTTAAATTGTTCAATATCATTTGTTTTATATTCACAATAGGGACATTCAGTAATCGAATCAGTTATTATTGGAGAATCACTTCCTAAATAATGACAATATTTTGTAATATAAAAATTTTTTATTTATTGGAAATTTCTATTTTAGTTTAAGTTCTAAAAGTACCTGATGCCGATGATGTTTGAGATGCTGATGGTAGATCGATAGCTGCGTTGAATGTCTGTTCTTTAATTTGATTAATACCATTTGTCATGTGTTGTTGTTGTTGCTGTAAAAAACTATTATTATTTGTTGGTAAATTTTCTATATTATGTTTTCGTTTCATATGTCTCATTAGATGTCCAGTTCGGTGATAATTTACTTGACAAACTGGACAAGTTAAGCTTGAAGATGTCATATCTTCTTCTTTCATATCATCTCTTTCATATTCGTCAACCTCATCTTCTTCATCACCTTCTTCGTCTTGTTCTCCACCATTTTCTAATCTGGACGATTCATCATCATCCAAATTAATGTAAGCTGTTGTACTGAGAGATTCAGATGAGTGTCGTTTAATACGTTTCACGGTGTTTGTGGTGACAATTTCTAGAAGCAGTATAAAATCTCTCATAGTCCGTTTTTAAAATGAAAAATCCTTCTACTACTCACGATTTTTTCTATCGTATGACAGAGATACTGGCTTAAAAGAAGATAAAAAATTCTTTTTACATTTAATAGAGAAAAGAACTTAAATTCATCAGAACGTATAGTCAAAGATACTACATAATTTTACATAACACATTTTTCGTATTAGATCTTGTCGAACTCTATGCAAGAAATATGATAATTTTTTTCATATGATATCAACAGATATTTTATATTTGATTAAAAATGATATGATATCGCTGTCAGGTTTTAGCTTTTGAACATTATATTTTCAAATTTTCATACCTGTTCGCCATTATATTGATCAACTGACAGTGAACGTTTTTCAGCTATATCTCTTTTATTTCCTTTCAACGTATCCGAACATCCATGAGCAGCTATAGTATAGAAAATATATATACCTTATAGCGTCAGATAAAATTATATTTAAATGACTACTACTTACTAGATAAATGTGCTTCTAAATCTTCAAGATTATCTGAATTGTAAACACAAACGGGACAAATATAAGCCGTAGCATCGGACATGTCTTCAAGAATAAAATATACAAAAAAAAATATTTAAACTTTGTTCTATAGAATATCTTTTCAATATAGATTATTGTGTTTTAGGATGATGAATTGTTATTGATTATATTCATTCTCGCATCTATCTCTATGTACAATCAAAAACCTATTCTTTTCTCATTTTCCTTTCAATCAACAACAGAAGGAGACGAAAGTTTTTTGTTTTTTGTTTACAGGTATAGGTAGAAAGCTTACATCGCACTTGTTTTAATGCGAAGCATGTTCATCGATGCGAATGAATAGCAAAGAAGAAGAAGAAATCTTGATTTGACTTATACAAAGACATCGTGAAATTTTTGTCAAGGATAAGATAAATAATAAAAATCATTTTTCTCCTCCTCCTTCTTCTTCTTCTTCTTCTTCTTCCCCTCCTCCTCCTCCTCTTCAGTTTTTACATTGTATTTTAAGATTTTAGAGTAAAACTTGACTTAATCTTGTAGGAGATAAAATAAATTTACTATGAAGTGTTGTTTGTTCTATTCTAGTAATAATGCTAACTCACACTCACTTAATTAGCCGTTATTAGTCTGTCGATGAATAACTTCTTTTTTATTTTTATTTTTTCGAGTGATCATACCCTCTTACCTGGATATTGATTGTGGACGATATTTTCAAACTTGCATTCATTTATGTAATACTACGAAATCTAAAATAAAAATATTATGTTCAGAATTTTTCTCCATATGTATGAGCATAGACAAAGATTAATATCAAACGAACGTGAGTCTTTGAAAAGCAAGGTTTAGTTATCAACTGTAACAGATAAAAAATAAATAAAATATCTTTTTTTTTGTTTTTTTTTTTGTTTTGTTTCGAAAGACTCATTCGATGGCATCCTGTTTATACATAACAGAAAAGTGCAACTCAACGAAGTAAAATACGCACAACTTCTATATTTTAACTAAAAATATACATATATATATTCTTTCATTCTCGGACTGATAACAGTGGTTAAAAAAATTCTTTTTTTTTTTCGATATATTATACGTGCTTCACATCTTGTTTTTCTTTTTTCTTCTTCTACTATATACAAAGAATTTTTTTTTTAGACGTGCAAATTAAAGTTATGCTTTGGATAACAATAATTTAGTTTGGTTAGTTAAAAACGAATAATAAAATAAAAAAAAAATAAAAACTGAAATAAAATATAGAATTCTCACCTAAAGATGTTGGTATATCGATCATTGTTGTATTTTTTTCTCGTTGTCAATTTCTATTAATGATGAGAAAAAAAGAAATTTTTAAATCAAAAATTCATAAAATCTGTGAATAATCAGCATTTAAACACATGAACGTATCCCATTGAAGATGTCGATATCTGTTTTTTCTTATTTCATTGCCGAGAGGAAAAAAATTCAATTGGACTATTTATTGAAATATAATTCAAATTTTTAATATCGTTTTTCTAGAAATTCTTGTTTTTTTGGCATACATTTGAATTATTAAAAAAAGAAGAAGAAGATCTTTACTACTTTAGAATATTGATCAATTGAAAAATAAAGAAATTGATGACTCTAGTATTGAGAGATAACCATCGATGAAAATTTTTCATATTACTATTCTTTATCATATACTCGAAAATTTTTAATAACAATTTTCTAACCATAAATGAAATTTTTTTTTAAACTTTGACGATCTCTTTAATCATAACAATATTAATCGATGATATGCACAAAGAATTTATTTTTCCAACTCACTGGTTAGTTGTAACTAAAGAAGTGAAAATGAATGTGTTGTTAAAAAAATGTAACATTCTTGATCATCATCATTCAAATAGTCAATTTTTCTTTGTACTTGTATTTTCTCTCTTTCTCTCTTCTCTTCTTCTTCTGTGCAGTAATGTTGTTGATGATAATGATTGCGTATTATACTTGTCATCATTGATGCACACATATGATGCATTTAAGAAATGAAGGAAAAGAAGACGAAACGAAGGACGAAGACATTTTTTTCGTGATCTTCTTCATTTCGTCTCAAGCACCGTTTTAAAAAGAAGAAAAAAAAAAAACGATGGGTTTACCTACAAGAAAAAACTTTTTTTTACGATTTCTTTTTTTACGATCACGATTCATCTATATATATATATATATATTTGTTATTATATCTATCTATACGTGAAAGATATATCTTTCGTTTTTGAAATAAAAAAACATACATACATACACTACACTCACATAAATGTACATCATTTCATTTAACGGGAGCGCGGAGGTTGAATTATACAGTATATAAGAGGACTCTTCTCTTTCTCTTAATGTTCCTGTCAATATCATGATGTGATCATTGATGATTTCAGAAATACATTATTCTTTTTTTTTTTTTTTATTTCTTCTTTTTTATTTTTTGTATGTGTGTTGTTATTCTAATGAAAATAAGTCACTGCATTCATTTTATAAAGATGATTAAACATAGAGTAGGCATTTCTCTCTACCTTTTTCACTCTTCAACTATTGTAGTTGAGTGATGATGAAGCGATAATGATTAGAAAAGTCAGTTGAATCAATTGCGTATATATTTATATAAAATCAAATAGATGGAAGAGATTAATTATCAATGAAAAAATCAAACATTTTTGTTTTGAAAAATATCAAAAAAAATAAAAAATAAACAAAAACTTTGTGTGTTTATGAAATTTTGTAAAATATCATTGTATGACGTGAAAAATTATATTAGTACATAATACTGAGAAGAAAAATTTTTTATACACTAAATAAGAGATTAGAAACTTGAAGATAACAGAGGGTAATCTCCTAATAAATAGAAAAAAAAAATTTTTTTTTCAACGTTGAAAGTCATTGAAAATTTTTTTAATCAATGAAAAGCGTAAAAATATTAAATTATATACAAATTCTTCAAAAAATATTTAGTCGAACAATCTACCTTACTCATATCTTTGATCTTATACAGTATCAAAGCCCAAATACTCTTCATCAAAAGTCCAGGTAAGGTCAAAAAAAGAATTATTTATGAATAAATTTTGCTCTTGAGTTATCAATGATTTTTTTTTTTGATAAATTTTGTGAGAAAACATAAAATTCTGTTTACAGGTACACTTCAGAATTATTCCTAATAACATAGTTTTTCGAAGATATATAATTATGGCTTAAATTGATTAGAAAACCTTTCTTCTAACTTAAGATTTGCATCTGTCATTGTTAAAAGCTCTTCTTTCTTTGAATTATTTTGGCTATTGAAACATTTTTTCAAACTAGATGTTTGAAATAACTGAAAATCACATATATTCTACAACTCTCCAAAGCTTTTATTTTTGTCGGTCACAATAATGAAACTTGTAATACTTCGTCTGTAAAGATCTTAAGAGAATGATACTGTTTTCCATTAGAGAAAAAATAGTTTGCATGATGTTTACAGAGTAAAAGTGAAGTCGTTTAATACGTGTTCCAAAACAGAACAAAGAGGCATCATCTGGAATAAATTTAAAAAAGTTCCTAGTATATAGAAAAAAATTCTATTTTCAAAAAGATTTTAAGTATTCTAAACTTACACTAATGATGAAACATATTGTGATCAATTAATTTAAAAATTTTCATTTTTTCAAGTAGACAACTATCCCGAACGTGCAAATTCTTTTTTTGTCGTAATATCTTTCTTTGTTATTGTATTTAGAATATCTTTCTCTATTGTATCGAATACACGTATACAAAAAAAAAAAAAAAAAAAAAAAAAGAAAAAAAAAAATTTAGGCGTGGTTATAATTGTTATTGGTGTTTGTGTTTATTTTTAT